GTTGAGCCAACTCCAGGCAAATGTGTACTGGCCATCAGGAATATCATCCGGCATGGTAACCGGGAAGACGGCTGCGCCGAGACTGTTGGGATCTTCTGGAGTGAGATTACCGGTGGCATTCGAAGGGCAGCCACCAATGATACTATGAATGACTTTCCAGGTTGAGGACTCGGTAGGCTCCATATCGGTGGTGAGCGAGAACTGGCAAGATCCACCCCCATGTACAACAGAGCCTTTGAAGTTGATGTCCTGGGTCTCTCCAGCGTTCCACTGATTCATCTCAGTGATGTCGTATACGCCGGGACGTTGCTTGCAGGGAAAGTCGCCGGGTCCAAGAGGAGAATTGTTGAGAGAGGCCTGGCCGTAAGGTACAGGCTTTGTGATTATCATGTGCGCGCTGGCGCTGGCAACGAGCGTGAGGAAAAGGGTGTTTAGTGACAACATGTTGGCCTCGGGTGAATGTCTTGAGAGTCGTTCTGAAATGGGTGATACCGCTAGACCTGCTAAGCGATATAATGAACGATCGTGGTCACTGTTATCGTCTGGAGTGAAACGGAGCGAGGGGGTAAAGACAGCTCTGATGTGATGTGGGGTGGGAGTCTAGCTCTCCGACGATGTACAGTGGTGGTAAAGAATGTGATATCTGCCACAGGCAAGATGGTGAAAGCAAAGAAAAAGAAGGGGTGAAGAAGGAAGTGGGAGGAAGCTGTGGTGAGCGTGTGGTAAGGAGGGAACACAAGGTGGAACGAAGTTGATAGATATAAGGATGAAGATGACCATAGCCACCTGTGGGGTGCCTGTGACGGCCTAGGGGTCACCTGCAGACTCGTAACAGTATTGTAGAGTGAACATCAATGTCAGGGACCTGGAGCCAGTGCCCGGCGCATCATGGGAAAGAAGCATAGGCTATTCGCAATGACATGGTCTCTCATGCGACGATAGATGGGTCCTGTCGGTTGGTATGCCCTTCGCAGTCTAGCGGAAGGGGGGTCCACTGGTGGAGAGTAGTGCAGAAGCAAGCCTTGATGGCTCTCGGCAGGCACCTTATGGATGCCATTGGCCACGACCTTTTTACAAGGCCATTGTTTTTGAAACGAAAGAGCGGAGACGGGTTCAGCTGTGAGAGGGCGATTGAGGCGAGGGCTACATAGGGCCAGGGGACGTCAGGTTTGACGTTTGTGCCGCCACTGGTGGCCTACCAGTCATGCAGGGGCGAGCCGTCAGGCCCAGTCATATCGATAACTGTAAAGGCTCAGCGGAATAAAAGAATCGTGTGGAGTCGCTGGAGTGGCGATCGCCTACCGTAGTCCAAGCTGAAACCATCCCACCTCTTGGGGGTGCGAAGCTTGCCTCCCTTCGTCATTCATTCGCCAGCGCAGTCATCACAGCGCGCACACTGACTGCTGCTAGCCTCAAGGGTAGGTGGAGCTTCGCGCCCAGCTCGAATATTGTAGCTACAGCAAACCAGGTGCCAGCAGCAGCGCTATGTGCCCGCCATGGGTTCTGGGTTCTGTCTGTACTGTACGCCACGCAAACCGAGTTGCCGCCTCGTGTACTACCCTACTATGTGACACCGACGCAGAAACTGGTGGTGCCCACATCCGACGACGACGCAACCGACCCAAATGAGCAAAAGCCGACCGTTTTTGATTGCAGGCCCGTGGCCTGGCACAGCCGCATCGTCTGTCGTCCGGAATTCATGCGTGCCATGCTGTCCAGGTAATGCGCAACCTTTTTTTTTAAACTTGGGCTAGCCATCTTTGGTTGTCAGTCACGAGATTTGTTCGGCTAAGGGGGTCTGTGGCGAACATGTCTGGATAAGGGGCATTAGCTTCTCGTAAGTACAGCAGCAGGTACCCATTGTACGTGAGGCAGTGCCATCGAAGGTAAACATAGTACCATCCGAATACATAGAGAGAGAGAGAGAGAGAGAGAGCCAGTACCCCGGTAGTTGATGTTGTGATGTTGTACGTCCTGCGAAGGAGCGGGAGCCCTGTACTCGCCTAACCGCGCCGCATCGTGGCCAGCCGATGTAGGGTACCACAGTATGGATGTTGTGGGGTAGGGTAGAATTGTAGTACGGGCGCATCCAAGGAATGGGGTTGGCTGCCCGTCTGTCGTCGTGAGACCACCATGGGCCATGGCTTTCTTCGCTCCGGCGGCTGTGGAAGAGGTCCTCGCTTCTGGCCGATCATTTGGCCATCAATGCTGTCTTTGTCTCGCTCCCTACCCATACCCACCACCACCACCACCCCACCATCAACGAAGCAGATGGGCGTTGCCCTTCGCCTTCCCACCTGCTATCTTGCCAAAATGATTGGTCGGCCACCAGTACCACTTTGTTTCAACAACCTTCCCGGCCGAAGCAGCTCTGAGCTAATCGCTCGCTCTTTTGAACCAGGAATGCAAGGCATGCCTCCCCACTAAACCCGTCTAAAGAGTCACTGGGTGGAGAATCCGACGTGGCTCGGAGGCCTAGGTTTCGGACTTCCCGTAAACAGCAGCTGCTACCCAATCCACCCACCAGTTCTGACTGTGTGCACGTCTGGTGATACCCTCAGCGCGAAACAAACCCACGAAACGCCCATATTTCTCTCCTTTATCGTTCAAGAGGGGTTTCTTTTGTCTTGCGACCTGTGACTCGTCAGGCTCACTATGTGCTGTATGTGGACGGAAAGCCACTTGCATGGCCAGCCGCTCAAGCAAACGCAACGCCCAAGAGTGAAATAGGCTGAACTCTAGGACGATAGCTCACAGCTCATCCCGCAAACAAGCTACAGATTCTGCAGACGACGCGTTGTCCCAAAACAAGCTTGAACTTTGACAGCACGGTTCAAGCCTTACCTATGTCTGCCCAGGATCCCACCCCAGCCCCAGA